TACTGGGTAGTTTATTTAGTTTAAAAAAAATTAGCCAACGATTTACACTCTTTCCCAATGTTAATCAATGGGAAAAAGTGTTTCCGGGCTCAGCAACCTAACGGAAGTGTAGTACCGCCGTTTGGCCACAACGAATATTCTCATCAGAGTCCGGTGCACTTCCTGGGGGCTTGGATTAGGCAAGTGAAGCCGCTGATGTCACTTCTTCTTCTTCTGCTTTGGGTTTACTGGCAGGCCGCCAACAACTTCACTGCGTATACTGCCACACGAAGTCCCCGGCCGGAAGTCCCCGGAGTTGGGGACTGGCTTCAGTAGAAGACTCCCAGCCAATCAGAAATGGGAACCTTTTTCTCCCATGAAAGTACCTGCTCTCTAGCAGGGACTGAAATCTCAATAAGCACTTTCACAACGCAGTACTTTTCCCTCTTTAGTTCCGATATAGTTCTGAAATGTTGCGTTCACACCAAAAGAGAGCAGGGACTTTCGTGGGAGAAAAAGGTTCCTATTTCTGATTGGCTGGACGGATTGCAAACCACGCCCCGTAAAACTCAAAAAAAGTGTTGTGAAGCCGCCATTTTATTATCCTTGCATGAGCATTATTAGCATTAGTCCAGCTCAGAAACGCAGAGAGACTAACTTATGGCAACACAAAAGAAAACATGGGAGCGGTGGAGATGAGGAGGTGTCGGCGTTCTGACGATTTACTCGGGGAATTCCGGCCGGGGACTTCGGGTGGCAGTATACGCCGTGAAGTGGTTTGCGGCCTGCCAGTAAACCCAAAGCAGAAGAAGAAGAAGTGACGTCAGCGGCTTCATTTGCCTAATCCTCCTTCAGGGACTTATTCCGGTGTGAAGGCGATCTGTACTTAGTTCATGAGAACTAAAGAGTTCTCATGAACTAAGTTCTGATGAACCTTTGTGGGAAAAGTACTGCGGTGTGAAAGCGCCTATTAACTAAGTTCTAGTTCTGGATTTTTTTTGGTGTTAACGCACATTTCGGAACTATATCGGAACTACACTGGGAAAAGTACTCAGGTGTGAAAGCGCCTGTATGCTAGTTAGCTAGCTCAACAATTCCTTAAATAATATTGCAACAGAAACACTTTTCAGTTCACATCACGCTCTGCCGCTCCGATAGGAGGCTCTGCTCTGAACACCTGAACTGCCCGTTCTAACAGCTGTTCACCACAGTTACTGTTACTATTAACGAACGCACCCGTAGGTAATGTAGCTGCTGAAGTTAGACCCTCATGCCGGAGCAACAGAGTTCAGCCGACAGACAGAGGGTGTTTCTCAATGTCGAGTAAAGCTGCCCAATCTGTACTGCGCATGTGCGAGATGGTCCGCCATATTGGAGAACTCCGGAGGGCAACCCAGGAAGGACACTTGACACAGTGGCTTTTGGCAAAGCTGAAAAATAAAACGAGAGAGAGATGAGTTATTGTTATTACAATGTGACTTCACTATTATTTAACAACTCTTTTGATGGGGTTCTTTTATTTGGGGTTAAGTACATTGTCAGAATAAGTGAGAAAATGATTTAACTTCTGTTAGACAGCCATATGCCATACATTTTTGCATACATTCACAGTAAATATTTATTCAGTATGATAGCTGTCTAACAAGTTAAATTCATTTCTCACTTATTCTGACAATGTACTTAACCCCAAATAAAAGAACCCAATAAAAAGAGTTGTTAAATAATAGTGAAGTCACGTTGTAATAACAATAACTCATCTCTCTCTCGTTTTATTTTTCAGCTTTGCCAAAAGCCACTGTGTCAAGTGTCCTTCCTGGGTATGCCGTCCGGAGTTCTCCAATATGGCGGACCATCTCGCACATGCGCAGTACAGATCGGGCAGGGGGACGAATCGGGTAGTGACATCGGGTAGTGACAACAGCCACTATTTCAAGCATACTACGTCATTGAGTGCCGCCGAAGTACTGTTCCAATGTCCAGCCTACTTGGAATTCTACCAAGCCCGGCGCACTGCATAGCGAGAAATTTCGAGGCTGCACATGTGTAGACTCCACGGTCTTAAAATACCCACAATGCATTGCGCACGGACCAATTTCCCCAAATCTGTGGCAGAAAATGTAATGCGGGGCCTCTCATATGATGCACACCTGCACACTTGCTCGCCTGTTCCACTCTTCGTTTTCCGAATGCCAGGAAGTATTCTTGCCTCGCTTCTGAAGCAAGTGACTCGGAAGACATGTGCTACCAAGCAAGCGTACTCGACATTGAGAAACACCCAGAAAGACTCGAGCATACAGTTTGCGTGTCACGATGGCACATAGCAGCTCGCATCCGCAGATTTCTCCGGGTCCCAGACCCCCCCATACCCCAAACATATTTTTATTGCAGATCTACATGAATCACACAAACTAACCTATTTTGGATTCAAAACGGCAAATTTTGCCGAAAGGTTTGCATCCCTGAAGATGATATCGTTCGAATGATCTTGCATTATAAGTGTATTGTGAAACTGTATATTTACAGCAAAATACAACACATTCAATAGTTTCTCATCAAGAGGAGACCAATGGCTGCAGGGTAATAACAGAGATGTCATGTTGTTGGGATTTTATTTCAGATGAGCTGTCCAGATATCAATAATTCCTGATAAGGCTGGTCTCGAGCCTTACATAACGAGGGGCGACCCGCCGCCTCTCATCCTTACTGTAATTGTTGTGTGCATCAAAGAGAGGCAGATTGACAGGCTGTATGGGAGGATTAATACAGTGAGGAGGAACAAGAGAGGGAGAGCAGGCTAAGAAACAGGGGTGAGAAGGAGGAGCGCAGGAGAGGACAAAAACTGGGGAGAGAGTTAAAGAGGGAGAGCAGTAATTGTGTGCATTGTGCCGGCGCTTCTTTTGCTGAGTGTGGCTGTGGAGGTGCGGGCGCTAACCCCTCCAGCAGCCCGCCGTGATCTGAGCCAGCTCTCAGACTGCTGTATTCCAATGCAATTAGGCCACTCAAAGGCCTGCTTAAAGCTGTACCTCTAGCCCACACCCACACCCACCCACCCACACACACACACACACACCCACCCACACACACACACACACACACACACACACACACACACCACACACACACACACACACACACACACACACACACACACACACACACACACACACACACACACACAGATAGCAACAGCCCCTGTGGGTCCCCTCCATTGTAGCGGGGAGGTGTATTCTGTCCCTCTTTGAGGCCCTGGATGAAGAGACCACCCTGGGGAGCAGAAAAAAGGGAGGATTACCTCTCTTTCTTTCCCCTTTTTCCTTCTGTCTTTCTTTATCTCTATCTCTTTTGGTTTAGGAGTTCACCTCCAAACGAGGAGAGCTTTGGTTCGCTCCTCCAAAGAGACTCTGTGCTGGAGGAACCAGGACGAAGAAGGTTTTCTGTGATGGATGTCATCGCGGGACTGCTTTCGCAATATCACTTCCCTCTTCCTCTTTCATTATTCATACAGTCATATATTTCAACAAGTGGCGTGGGGGGTGTAGCTCGGTGCTGGTCCCCGCTGGCATCAGTCAGTCAGGCCCCTGCATTAAGAGAGAGCTCTCCTCCACAGCAGAGTTCTGTTGGCTGGCTTTCAGCGCCTCTCGTTCCCCCTAGAAAGCATTTAAAGCAGATTACCAACCTAACGCTACACCTCCCTAATAAGAGGGAAAAAACCTGGCACATTAACACCTGCAATACCACTCAATGGCATCAACAGATTAACGAGGTAATCCACACAATGAGGTCTTTGATTCGTGTGCTTTGGCAGGCAATAACGCCAGGCATAATGCACACTGTTATTTCAGACCGTCCCAGCACGAGGGAAGCTGGCAGAAGCCGTTTTTTTTTGTTCTTTCCGTCAGATGAGCTTTTGATGAATTTCAAATCATGCATCTGGTGTGTTTGCCTGCTTCCTTGTCAGTGAAATAACCTGCTGGCTGCTCCTGTGGCACATGTGAGGAAAAGGAGAAAAGGGGGAGGAATCACAGGCTTTTTTTGAAGGCTGTTTAAACAGCAGGGCTGAGGAGCTCTCCCTCACCCCCCCCCCCCTCCTCTCATCCACCCATTTTTCTGCATAAGGACGTGCGTATGTAAGATGTGTGTGTGTGATAGATCTCGCGGCCCCATTGCTCATGTGCGGCTCGATTAGCCCCACGTGCCTCGTTCGTCAGACGCAGAGCAGAGCAGATGGCAGGAGACGCACCGTGTTACCATGCTGCGGCACTATGTAACGCTGCTCTAATTGAAACATCAATACTGCCCTGTCAATACTGCTATACTTTACAAAACACCATAACCTACAGACCTGCACTTGACTGGGGGAAACATCTCTGTGTTTGAGATGCAGTGGTAAACAAGTTTAAAATTGCACCAAAGTAACTTTTTGTTCTGTAATTGTTATGGGTGTTTTTCGTATCCTAATTTCAATTAAACACTTGGGTTGATTTGTGTTTGTGTTGTGCTGGTGAAAGAAGCATGCAGCAATGAGAGAGAGAGTTTCCTCCGCTGTGGCACATTTTTAATGAATTGATAAAAAGTTGAGGGAGTTCACATGCTGTGATCGGCAATTCGACGTTATCGGAAATTCAGCGGAGAACAGAGAGAAATTAGGCGCTTAGAAATTAATTTGCTATTTGTCCAACTCAATGAGGAGTGACACAGCCCCTTTAATGAATGGGTAATCCATTTCTTATTGCGCTGAGCTGAGTTCACCCTTCAATGAAGTGGAAAAAGACAAACATATCTTTCTCTAACCTTTGCATCATACCAAAGCTCATGAGAGCTGCTCCTGAGACTATTTGTTTATTGGGGAACGATTTGTACGTCTGTGTGTGTTTCTGCTGGGGAGGGATTGAGTTTAAAAGCCAAGATAGGAATCCACAATAAATAATCCGTGCCGACACTGAGGCCACGGTCAAAGTGCTGTACATGGAATTGATTCATGATCAATTGGCTTGCTACAACAGTCTTTATTTAACTGTGAGTCATGTTTGTTTCTTCAGTTTGCCGTCTGCTGCCTTGAGCCCCCCCCCACCCCCCCCGTCTTGCTGCTCCTCCTGGATCTGAAGAGTGTTGGTGATATCCCGGAGAGTCCGTAAGGGTAAGGACCTTTTCACTCGATCCAAATTCTCCATGATGGTCTTTGTCTCATGAAGCTCCTTCACATCAGAAGGTCGTGACCCCGTGGAAGCCTTCTGTGCCTCATCTGTCTGATGTAACTGTTGGATACACATGAGTGTATGACATAAGAAAACTTAACTGATAGGAAATACACTTGGAAACATGCAGTCAACTATAACTACTTAATCAGTCTAAAACTGAAAAATACTCCTCTTAATACGATATAACAGATAAAAGCAGGAAATGTTCATCCCTGAGAGGCTGAAAAACTGCAATATCTGCTGTTATCCGGTAAAACATGATTCATTTGATGGTAATTCATGATCAAAATAGTTGCCAGTTTAACATCAGCTGATCTTATTATTTACAAAATGCATTGATACATCTTTGTGTCTGTAAAATTTAGAAAAATGCCGAGGAACATTTCTTAAAGCCCATTTCTGTTGATCCGAACTTAGTAAGCTATCCCATAAGTCAAATAAATACCTACAAATATCCCAATACAGAAGCTTGAACTAAAACATCGTTATACTTTTTGCATTATATATCAGGCTCGATAAAAGTAACAATAGATTATGTAAAAAGTCATGAAGCGCCTCCTAATATTCGTACAAAAATGGCAAGAAGAAAGCTGCATTTATTTGTACCAATCTTCTGTAGGGCAACTAGCCAGTATCTCGGTGTATGGTGCTGCAGCTTACCTGGAGAGCCTTACTGGACTTCAGGGGCTTTTTGAGGGTCTGCTCATCCAACGTTAAGTCTCCAGAAATCTTCAACATCTGTTGGAACAGATATTTGGTGTTAATGACAAATAAACAATAACATAGGGTATAGCCACAGATCAAATGTTCTTCAATTTTTTTTATTATTTCAGGAGTCATTAAAAATGAAAGTCAATTACATTAAAGGTGAAAAAAAAGGTTTTCCATTCAGCTGTAATTAAGTTAGGGGACTCGCAAGAGACAGATTTTTTAAAGAATAGTTTGAATCTAAGTTGCAGAGGCAAATATAAGCTAACCTTTTTAACATAGTAAGAGTGATTGAAACGCTCTATAAACGCTGAGTACTACGTCTCCCATAATGCAGCCAATACAGTCCTTCATACAACAGACTCAATGCCCCCCAGTTTATCTGTTTGTAACATCATCTTTCTGTTAAATGAAGTGGACATCTTTATTCCAAACCTCATGACATCATCACGGGTGGTTTTCTCACACACATTTCCTCCTCCAGAGGAGATTACAGCAACAGTTTGCATGGTTGAGTGGTACATCATATCACTAGGGAATGACCTTTACATAAATGTGTAAATATGTGCAGTGGCCCTTTGATCTTATTCTAATATGCCGTGATTTATTTATAGTTCTTGTGGAACATTATTAGTTCTAGTTAAGACTCCTCGAGGTCCTCCGTCTGTTGCACTTCACACCAGCGCCACTTGCAGCACGGGTTGTGACTCCTTTGACATCCTTTCCCCCTCCTTATGGATGTTGTGAGTAATCACCAGAAGAAATGTGATGAAACCCTGTTTTCTTAAGGAAAAAAGACAGGGACCAAAAGCTACATTTGTAGTCAATCGAACACTGGCTCTATCTGCGGGAGCGACGTTTCAGAATCTGGTTACGATTTGATCTTGGCTCAAGTTTCCAGTGAGTGTTGACGTGTCTGAGTTGTGAGGAAACCCAAGCCGGCAGCTTACAGCGGGGGCTTCACTATTACAGTATTTACAAGGCATGAGGAAGTGGGAGCGCATTAACAGACGGCACCATACACGGCACTTTCAATCATTTCTCACAGCATTCATGAAAATAGAAGCGCAGTATGAACAGCAAAACTATAAAAAGACATGAAGCAAAAAGAGAACTCCCAAGCTAAAATAAATGGCATCGTATGCTGTCGTTGGTGAAGAGCTGAGAATAGTGTATGACTCCGAAGTATGAGAAATATAAATATTGTGTTGGAGTGGAGTGAGCAGTGATGGTGCAAACACTGGAGCATCAGTAATTAGAGTTTAGGTTACAGTTTTGATTTTATCGCATTTTAAAATCAGTTTTGAGATTAAAATTGGTCTGAAGAACCACTTGTATGAACTGTAGTACATGTTGTATGATGTACAACATGTTGTCATGTAGTAGCCTACACTTTGTCTCCACAGGGTAAAACACTTCTAAAATAGGAATTATACATTAATGTCCTAGCCTGGGTTAGTTTAAAGTCTAAATATGTTTCCAAAATCATGCAAAAATCAACGCTGCTAGCAGCTTAGTGATGCTATAACATTGCTTTGAGCTAAATGCTAACGTCGACATGCTTAAATGCTCCAAAAGACAATGCTAACACGTTGTTGTTCAGTAAGATTTAACATGATCACCACAACATCTCATAATCAGCTCCTAACACAATGAGTCATTCTTACAATATATTTCAAGTAGCTAAGAACTAAAGCGACTGCATTGTAAAAAATGTTTTTGGCAATCCTTTCCCGAGTGGACCGACAACAGACATTCATAGAGCTTTTATCTATAGCTCATATGGAATTAACCTTCCTCAAAAACCTAGTGGAACAGGCAGCCTAATAGCGCATTGATTATAATGATTAAACATGAAAATGCACCTCATGAACAGTTCGGTTGAAATTAGCATTTTACATTAAGTCTGATAAGATCATTTGAATAGGAATCTGACTAGACGTATATGTTTTGTCAAAGTTATAGAAATCTAAGATTAGACTACAACAATGCTGTTGCAAGAGGCCTGAAATAGGCGTCAAGAAAAATCTAAGAATTATTTTTGTAGTTTAGACTGTCGGATGTGCTCGATTTTTACTGATGTCACTATGTTCCCTTATCTCAGCAATTACCTCAGGAAGCACAGTTTTATCTCTCACCCATAGAAATGATGACCAACACTACAAAAAGCCAAAAGACTCAAGCGGTAATAAAGCGTTAATATCCTGCAGATTGGCAGATTTTGCATATAGTGCTGACGCCTCCACCACATCCTCTCTGTCCTCTAGCCATCAGCAGAAACAGGTGACAGCAGCTGATCTCTCTCCCCCTCCGATGAGAGGCTGTAAGTGAGGGGGAGAGAGGCTCACAGACAGAGATGTTTGTTTCCCAGCCCTTCCACCGTCTCTGTGGGACGACCCCATCCACAACCCCCCCCCCCAACCTAGTGGATCAAACAAAGGACATCATTTGTAGGCCAAGTCTTTTTCTGAGCGTCTCTCTCCTCGGCTCTGCATACCAATCCAATACAGCCCAAGGAAGAAAAAAAAAAAAGCCACGCCGTAGTACTTGTGTGTGTGTGTGTGTGTGTGTGTGTGTGTGTGTGTGTGTGTGTGTGTCTGGGCCGGGGGTTGGAAGGTCTGTTTGCCTCTCCGCCAAGCATCGATTTATCCTTTTCTCCAATTTATTTCTCCTCCTTGCCTCGACGATCCATTCAGATCTGCCTCTAGGGGAGGAACTCGGGGTAAAGACGTTGTCAGGCCTCGTTGTTTCCTCCTATAAAACCGGCTCAAAACTCATCTACAGGCCCGCGGAGCGTGTTCCCCTGCAAGGACATGTCAGGCAGCAACACACACACACACACACACACACACACACACACACACACACACACACACACACACACACACACACACACACACACACACACACACACACACACACACACACACACACACACACACACACACACACACACACACACACACACACACACACACACACACACACACACACACACACACACACACACTGCAGCAGCTTTAGAAGTGATGCAAATATAAAAACACAAAGGTGCCAAAACATATTCAACATCTTCACCAACTTCACAACACATTTAGAAAACATTCACGGACACGAAACATGTGCAGCGTTTACTAAAAGCACAGCATAAAAAATAAAGGCTGCAAATAAAACATGTTGCAAGAAATGTTTTTGTTGGTGCACGGCCACCGTATCTATTTTAATTGAAACACCAGCTTCAGCCAAAAAATACCCTCTCCTCAGATTTGAAAGGCTGATCAAATGAACACACGCCACACAACGTTTAAAAAAGCCGATTCAAATAACAAATATGATTGCAATTTAGAGTTTTTTGAAGTGTCCTTAATGTACAGCAAAGTTGCTACTTGTGATGATTGTTAAGTGTAGGCCGTGTGAGGAAGAGCCATATTACATTCCTTCACCATTAGATTTATAATAACAGAGAAAACATTGTTTCACATCTTGTGAAATAGGTCATATTCGCCCCGGTTGTCCATTCGAAGAAGCCTGTTAAAGTGAGATACATTTTTCAGCATTGCTTGAACAGATTACATATGAATAAATATGGTATGTTCTTCATTAGCCTTAGTTGAAGAAGTTATTCTACCCGGTGAATGTGTACAATTATTTTGTGTTATTTCACTAATAATGTTAAAACAAGTTTATTATAGTGCTTTTGCCTTCCCTCTGGAAGGAACATAGGGGTTTTAGACTTTGCAGACCATTTCACTACAGAAGGGGAAACCCAAAAAAACATACCAGGGCCTCTTTAATTCCTCTACCAGAGAGTTTTATCTGAAATAAGGGTTTCAAAAATGTCCATTTATCTGTATCAGCTTTAGCAATATGCAAAATATCGATCAATCCCTATTGAGGAGACCACAACCTTTCCTTTAATATAAAAGAGCATTATACCCTGCTCTTATTTCCGCAGTAACAACTGTTGGTCAAGCCAGAATGATATTGAATTATTCCTCATAATCAGGCCTACACTCAGAGCACGAGCAGATATGATCAGAATAACAATTTCCCTATTCATCTGTCGGTATGATTCTGACATGTTCAGATGTTATTACTCAAGGATTTGTATCCTAAAGCCAACAGAAATGCTGCGTGTGCGCAAATCCCACTGTTGTACACACACACACACACACACACACACACACACACACACACACACACACACACACACACACACACCACACACCACACACACACACACACACACACACACACACACACACACACACACACACACACACCACACACACACACACACACACACACACACACACACACGGCAGAGGTCTGCGAGCAATTCCTCAGTGTCACAGTGAGCGACGCCTGGCACATCCTCACACCTGAAGTTGATCAATGCAGATATGTCCAGGGGGAAATTGAAATCCATAGGAAATTAGGCGGCACCAGTGATTTATAGGAACAGTAAATCACAGTGTGTGAAACATGTGGGTTCCCGCTCTGTGTACACTACTGTACCTTGTGTCTGGCTGGGAGAGTGATGTCAGCAGCCTGTATCTTCCTGCCTCTCTCCATCTGGTGGATCCTTTCAATCAGGTCTCCGTGTTGAAGCCCCCTGTGTGGGACGGGGTGACCTGACCCCATGGACACGACACTCTGCAGGGGTCCCTCTGAAGCAGGAGAAGAGAAGCTTTGAAGGACTTTTAAAGTGGTGCATGGCACTGTTTGAATCAGTAGCTACGTTTTCATCCAAAATGTAAAGTTAAATTAAGGTATCCAAACATATTTATAAGCTTGGAGTAGTACACAAATTAAAGAAGGGAAGCTTTAAGCTCACTTTTCCTGATTAAAGAGGCCCTATTTAGCTCTTTAGGGTTTTCCGTTTGCTGTTTGTTAAGAAGGTAAATGGTCTGCAAAGGGAGAGTTTCCTTCCCACACACTCCCCCCTGCCTGAAACGCCTCGATTGGACTCCTTTGTTTACTTCAGGAACATAGTGACATCACTATGTTACACTCGCACTTCACGTTGTCTTAGTACTTGTGCAATTACAATAAAGTTGAATCTAATCTAATCTTTGGTAAATAAGTAGATTTGTCATACAAAATGCACCATTTTCAACCAGCTGTTCATTCGTCACAATTTGATTGAAAGTCTTGAAACTGGAACTGCTGAAATGTCCTCTTTGTGCTTCACTTTCAGTGGAGTGAAAAAAGGAAAAGAAAAGTCAAACAAGTAACCTTATCTTAACCATAAATCTAATTTAATCCTATTTCCTTCAAGAACATCATAACCAAACTGCCCTCACTTTGGAGGGGTTTCCCTCAGCTTTCTACACTTCTGAAGCAATCTGATCCTTTTAAGAATGGAACCATAAGACAGAGTACAACAGGAAAATCAAAAATATAAATCCGACACTGAGTAGTTGTATGAGGAGATTGCATTCATGCGTGAATGTTCAAATAAATCCTGGAGGATTTTCTCAAGAATAAAACGGAGATAGTGTGCAGTGTGAACCCCGACTGAAGAATCACCGCCCCTCACACCCACACCCCGTTTCTCGCTGTTTTTTTCTTCTGTTCCAGGTACACTGCCTGTGTTCCAGCTTGTTTTTGTCCAGCTTTAATTGCTTTTTTTTTGTTGCAGGGAAGAAGAAAAGACAACAACAAGGCGGCGAGGGCTGCAGCTAATGGAGAGGCGGTAATTGTGAATGGAGGCATTCATCTGGAGACGTCGTCCGTGAATTGTGCCGCACAATGTGCAGAGACGGGCTGCTCAGATCACCAACCAGTCACCAAACACACACGGACACACACACGGACACACACACACGGACACACACCACACGGACACACACACACACACACACACACACACACACACACACACACACACCACACCACACACACACACAACACACACACAGCACACACACACACACACACACACACACACACACACACACACAACACACACACACACACACACACACACACAACACACACAACACACACACACACACACACACACACACATGCTGAAGCCTTTAGATCATTGGTGCTTAGAGGAGGAACATAATCACAGCTCGGCAGAGATCAGGACAGGAAGAGGCGAGGAAAAGAAGGAGAGAAGAGCAGTGAGGAGCTAGGGGGGAGGAGAAACTGTGCAAGGAGAGAGGAGGAGAGGGGGAGGAGGAAGTAGAGGAGACGGGATGGTGAAATTGATGTTTCCTACCTTTTTGATTTGGGCCATAGAACCCAGGAGGCCGATCAGATAAAGCCACATTCAAACACACACACTGAAATGTAAGTGTGTGTGTAAGTATGTTAATAAAACACAAATGGAATAATGAATAGTCCATTGCATACTGTATATAAAACAAGTGGGCATCATGCAGGATGCAATATAATAACAAAGTATCTCTTATTTGTATAAATTCTTTACTATTTTGTTATATTTTCAGAATTCAAAAATGTAATTATTGTTTTCTCTTCTCCCAGTTAAAAGAAGATTTTACGAGTGGTGGAGAGCCCTCCCATAACATCTCGTGTTTAGAGTCCACCAAAAAAACAAAAACAAGTTGTTGTCGGGTGGTTATAATAATTGGATAATACAACGAGTGTCCATTAGACACACTATCGGTCCACTGATGCCAATTAAGACAATAAAACCCCTCCAAACATATGTTTCTGGAAAACACATGTTTATTCTGTTTGAGTTTATGTAACAGAACCTTGACTTCACTTCTATTCAAGTTGTCCTTCTTTCAGCCTTTTTTGTTGGCATCCCTCAAAATCTTGGGCAAGTGCCAGATTATTTGCACACGGCACAACACCTGCCCATATATAGTGTTTAGGGGGTGTATAGGTGTCCTATACGCTAATATTAAAGAGGCCCTATAATGCGTTCTTGGGTTTTCCCTTTCCTGTAGTTTGTTAAATACGTTGTTGTGCATGTAAATGGTCTGCAAAGGCTAACATCCCAAAGTCTCTCTCCCACACACTCCCCCTGCCTGAAACTCCTCCATTGGACTCCTTTGTTTACTTCAGTAACATAATGATATCAGTATGTAACACTCGGGCTTCAATTGGCTAGCACTCCAACACATTGTAAGTGATAGGCTAAGAGGTGGGACATCCCTAAGCGGTTGACCAATCACAGATACGGCCAGCTAACCAATCAGAGCAAACTGGGCTCTGGTTTCAGACAGAGGGTGAAAAGAGGTGCTGAATCACAGGCAATATGAGGAAATGAAAGACCTTATGAACATTTAAGCATGTAAACATGGCACAGTAGAGGCACTGCATACAATTAGAACTCTCAGCCTCTGATATGATGAAGATGGATTCATCCTATACACCTGGGTATGAGAAGATTTGATGGTTAAAATGTTTGATGCATCTGGTTGACTTCTCTTATTTTTGTCTTACCAGAAAATGTAAGAAAATATCAAACAAGAGAAATGTAAAAGACTGTGCAGCATGAGGCCCATTGACATACTGTATACACAAGTAAACCTGTGTAAACATAACGGGTACTTTGACAGGTAGACATTCACAAACACAAACATTTTAGACTATAAATACGCATTTACAGCCATATCAAAAAATATAACTTTGTGAAGAACACTCTCACAAACCCCACGCTTCCCTCAATCTGCTGAAATTCACACGCACATCCTTCAACCAAACAAACACCATTAAGCCAAAACACACAGAAACACTGCTCAAAAAGACACAACAAAGCCTATGTGACGGTATACATAAAAAAGCCTCTCTTCTCAGGGAGCCGAGACGAGGCACCTGTCAGCGCCGCGGCTCCTGCTACTATAGAGAAACATCAGGAAACAACAACTCAATTAAACACACCATCCCTGTTCAATTACTGCCATATAATCACAGCAATTTGCCTTCACATGCTGTATAGCCACCAAACAAACACAAACAAGGACGGGCACACACACACACACAGCTTTCTCCTACACATCAGGAGCATAAAGCTCACCA